GAGGCCTTATGAAGTACACCGTTACAAAGCCTTGCCATAATTATTTTTTCTTTTTAACAGAGACATGATGGCTTCAAAACAAAAAGAGAACTCATTGTGGATAAGAAAAAGCATCCAGGTGAGACACTGGTGCCAAGAGAGTGGGGGTCATACTCCAGCAGTGCTTCTCACTGGCACATTATTAAACACCCCAAATCTGTAAAATGAGAGTAACAGCAATACCTACAAGGAAAATATGTGCGAGGATTAAACAATATGATAAAGGCAGAGTACCCTGCACCATGCCTGGAGAGTAGCTGCTCCACGTTTTTCCTTTCCTCCCTTATCTTGATCCCACCAATGTAATCAACGGGTGCAGCCCTCAGTCCGTGGTCTGAAATTTAATTCGTGGGTCTGTCTGATGTTTCAAGCACTGAATGTGTTTCCTCATGGAAACAGTAATGCACACAGATGGTTGTTAAGTTCCTGGGTCAGTTCACAAGCCTTTCTGTGGTGATTTTGCCAAACAACGATGTGCTAATAGTACCACAGAATTTATCACCACGTGAGGCTATGATTCTTCAGGAAAATGAAATAAAACTTTAACTTGGAATGTCATAAATGCATTTTCCCTGACAGTTATAATACAGCTGGTATTTACTGACCTGCTACTATGTGCACAGCAACATTTTATTTTATTATTATTATTTTTTTAAATTTATCTTTATTTTTTAAAATTTATCTTTATTTAAGATTTCAGAGAGAGGAAGGGAGAGGGAGAGAGTTGAAACATCAATGATGAGAGAGTCATTGATCAGCTGCCTCCTGCACCCCCCAACTNAAAATTTATCTTTATTTAAAGATTTCAGACAGAGGAAGGGAGAGGGAGAGAGTTGAAACATCAATGATGAGAGAGTCATTNTAAATTTATCTTTATTTTTTAAAATTTATCTTTATTTAAGATTTCAGAGAGAGGAAGGGAGAGGGAGAGAGTTGAAACATCAATGATGAGAGAGTCATTGATCAGCTGCCTCCTGCACNATCTCCTGGATTCTAGGTCAATGCTCAATCACTGAGCCATGCCCGGCCGGGTACACAGCAATATTTTAAATGCATGAGGTGAATTAGCTGCTCATACTGACCCTCTGCATCAGGTTCAACGGTCATCTTTATTTTACAGAGAGTGAAATTAAGGTGTAGAGCTACAGGGCAGGGGGCATGATTCAGACCCAGTTAGTAATCTGGCTCCACAACCAGTGCAATTAGCCCTGACAATGTGACCCAGGTCAGCCTTTCCCTCATTCCCCACTTCTTACCTGCTTGGGCAGTGGGAGTGGACCCCAGTTAGCTCCCACCACTTGGGGTGACTCCCGAGGCCTGGGCAGAGGTTCTAGTCTGCAAGGAGATGGGGAAAGNAATTAGTCAATCTGGCTCCACAACCAGTGCAATTAGCCCTGACAATGTGACCCAGGTCAGCCTTTCCCTCATTCCCCACTTCTTACCTGCTTGGGCAGTGGGAGTGGACCCCAGTTAGCTCCCACCACTTGGGGTGACTCCCGAGGCCTGGGCAGAGGTTCTAGTCTGCAAGGAGATGGGGAAAGTAAGCGGTGGGGCTGAGACTCTGTGGGGTGAGATGGTGGGAGTTATAGCAGACAAGGGTCTATTGTAAATGTCCTGGAAGGTGCCTTAGCCTCAGCTAGCTTCCTGTTACCCTCTTGATTGCTTTATGAGAGAGAAGCTTAGAGACTGAGCCAGTTGCTTTTCTCCACTGTAAATCTCCTTTCTGCTTAGCCTCACAGGGCCCCCAAGCAATGGGGCAATCTCATAAAATCTCCCCATGCCAAGCTCCCCACAAAAGCACAGTGCTGTCCTGAGAAATCTATTAGGTTTCTAAGAAATTTTATTGCCAATGGCAATAAAATGAGACCAGAATAAAAGGATGTTCACCTTTTGCCTCTTTCCCTAAGGTCCTTCACATTCTACTTTTTCTTTTTTTAAATCCTCACCTGAGGATATTTTTTCCATTGCTTTTCAGAGTGGAAGGCGTGGAGGGGCGGGGAGAGAAACATTGATGTGAGAGAGAAACATCGACTGGTTGTCACATTGATTGGTTGCCTCCCGCATGCACCCCAACCGGGAGGAGGGAATGAGCCTGCAACCGAGGTACATGGCCTTGGCCAGAATTGAACCAGAGACCCTTCAGTCCGTGGGCCAGCACTCTAACCACTGAACCAAACCGGCTAGGGCAGTCCTTCACATTCTTAATCTGGGGTCCATAGATGAGTCCGGGAGGATCTTGAAATCCCATGGTATTTCACGTGAATGTGCCTAAATGAACTCTGGGTGGGACAAGACTCACAAGACTCTTCTCCCAGTTGAAAACACTTAAAGGCCTCTCCTTATGGAAATAAAGGTGCAGCTCAGAAATGATAAGGTGGACCTAGCGGGTATTATGATGAATGAAATAAGTCAGACAGAGAAAGAAATACCATATGATTTCACCTATAGGTGGAATCTAATGAACAAAATAAGAAAACAAACAAAATAGAAACAGACTCAAAGATACAGAGAACAAACTGCCTGATGGGAGGGTGTGGAAGGGCTGGGTGAAAAAATGTGAAGGGATTAAGAAGTGCAGATGGGCAATTCCAAAATCTTCACGGGATGTAAAATGCAGCTTAGGGAATATAGTCAGCAACGTGATAACAATATGCGGTGTCAGGTGGGTGCAAGGCTTATTGTGATTTATCATTATGTAAGTTTACAAATGTCTAACTACTGTGCTGTACACCTGAAACTAATATAATATTAAATGTCAACTGTAATTGAAAAAAAATTTTAAATGATAAAAAACACCCCCAACGATGGTAAGGTACAGATGAGGGTATAAAAGGGCTCAAGTAAGGTTTGTTTTGTTTTGCTTTTGCATTTGATATTCATACTCAAGCTCAGCTAATTAATGCTCATTGGAGAGGAAATGTGAGCTTGGGGGTTTTATGTATAAGTTGCTTCAAGGAGCCCAGAGCTGGGGGCGGTCAAGGGAAGAGTAGCTAGGGTTCCTCACCTCTCCTCCCTCAGTCTTGATGCCTGAAGCTTGACTCTGATGCCTCCCGAGGAAGTGCATCGGTCAGGAGGGCGATGCAGGGGTGGGCCAGGGAGCCAGGGGCCGCTGGCCCGGCAGAAGTGAGAGGGCGGACGCATGTCAGGCGCATGTGGGGCTGTCTGCATGTGTTTGCCCCAGATGCTCATTTTTAGTCAATGTCTGGGTGAGCGGAAGCCAGTGATGAGCCGTGTGGCATCACAAATGAGCTCCAGCCTGAATCTGATGATTGCCCCATGGTTGCCGTCTCTGCCCTGCTTCTCCCCCAGCCTGAGAAAGGAAGCCTCTGACTGTCTTCATCTCTTTAGACCCAGTGCAGGAATATGAGCTGCTGCTTCAGGTGCCCTATCGAGATGCCAAGGATAAAAGAGACTTGAGGAGATTTCTGAAGCTTCTGAAGCCTCTTTCATTATGGTTCTATGGGCCAACGAAGATTATCAGAGCGAAGGTGACCACATGTAAGCCAGCTCCCTGGGGACTGAGAGTGGAAATGGTGTAGGTGGGCGTGCCAGTCAGGATGGGTTAGGTTTGCTACGGACCACAGTCATTCCTGCAACATGTGTGGCTTACAAGAATAAGTGTCTTATTTATTCTTCATGCTACATGCCCGTTGCAGGTTGCAGAGGGCCTGAGTTTGTGGTGGCCACTTGGGGACCCAGGCTGATGAATCAGACAGTATCTCAAATATACCCATTCTGAGCCCCAAAATAGGGAATGGATCACTGGAGGGTTTGACATTGGCAGTTGAATTCTCTAACTCAGGAATGACACACACTAACTCTGCTCACGACTTATTGGTCAGGACTGTTTCATGGCCCTTCCCAACCTCAGGGGCGAGGTTATGCAATCCTGGAAGAGAGCAAGTGATACCTGGCAAACAGCACTAATGACCACAATGGGGGGCTCAGAGAAGTTAAATGATTTGTCAAAAGCAAGGGTTCTCAAAGTGTGGTGTCCAGTCCAGCAGCAGCATAGCACCAGAGCTCCATCCTTTTAGCTTTTGATGAGAAATAGTTGGTTCAGACTTTAAGTCAGAGTCAAGGATCAGAACTCAGTGGTAGTCCCCATTTATTAACCAGGCCCCATGAAATCAAGCTCTGTTTTTTGTGCAGACTGTGGCAACCAGAATGGGCTCTTACGGTGTGCCTGTGAAGATGGCTATACCTGGTTTCCTCCTTCATGCCTCGATCCCCAGAAATGCTACCTTCACACAGCTGGATCACTCCAGACTTGTGACTGTCATCTCAATAATCTCACCCAGAGTGTCAGTTTCTGTGAGAAAACAAGTAAGCACATAAGGGTATCAGGAGGGGAGCTCTGGGCTAGGGCCTCTCCCACCCCAGCATGTGACAGAGAGGGAACTCTAGCTCCTTGGCCACGTATTTCTCTGTCTCCCTGAGCAGAGCTAGTGTCTGCAGGGAGATTGAAGGGCACTGTGACATTCCCCTATAGGCCTGGCTAGACAGAGGGAGAGCTGCATTAGTGCTGAAAATTCAGAAATGCAAGTTGATGCTTGGGCACCCCTTCAACCTTGCTCCAGCTCAACTCTGCAAATCTATGCTTCTTTTGAGATTTAGCAAGATTCATTGAAATGTCAAGTCAGGGAACTAGTTGAGTAAATACAGTTTTCCTTCCTACCTTCTTTTCACCTATTTCACCAACATCAGTTTTCAGAAAAGAGAAGTCTAGAGGTATGAAAGCAAGGAGGAATGCATAGTGATTATATTGAAAGTAATTCTCAAAATTTCCAGCAAAGTACGTGTACTGAGTGCAATACCAAAACAAGACAAAATTTAAAAGCCTAGTTTTGGAAACTAGTGGAAGCTGAGGGAGCTCCTGTTGACTTAGATTTATGTTCAGTGAATGATGAGGTGAGTTAAATGATGTGGGCTCCAGGGCTTGAAAGATTTCAAGAAGTTTTCCCAAAGACTAGTTCAGGTCTCCTGAAGCTCTGGGTTTTGGCAGAGCTGAGCAAAGAGTGAGGGAGGACCTGAAATAGCCTAGTTTCCTGGATATCCCTGGCTCCCCTTCCCAGGACCACAGCAATTCAGGGTAAGGCATCGTCTATTTATTAAGCACCATCTTTATACCCAGAATGGGGGCAAATTCTGGCAGGCCACAATGAATCGTTTCTCTTGCTCTCGATGAATGAGCAGGCTACAAGGGGAGGCCAGGATGTTGACACAAGAAAGAAGACAATGTCATTTCTTCAGCAATGTTGATGAAAGCCTGCCTTTGAAAGTTGGTCCATGTCTGACCCATCTTCCAGAGACACACAGATGGAGCAGACAGGAATCACTCTCATAAAGAGCTTCCCAAAGTAGAGCAGGGACACACATACGTGAGACAAGCTCACAAATAGATGTGTAGGTGCAAGAGGCTGTAAGGGGCTATGGATAAAGTCCTGCAGGAATTTAGAGAAGTTTGAATCTGGGCATCAGGGAAGGCCTTAGGAGGTGCTTTGGCTAGGCCATGAATGAAGGATAAACGAGATATGTCCATATGGAGACGGTAGATAACCTGTCCTGGGGCAGTAAAGCGCCCATGATAGGTAAGCAAGGGGTATGTTGGAGTTAGCAAGTAGTGATGTTTTGTGCTTTTTAAAATTTTTTAATAGGACAGTTTTTAAGCTCAATGCCTAGATGGGGATATATTTCAGTGGGAAGTGACTGCCTTTTAATTAATTAATTAATTATTATTATTTTTTAAAAATCCTCACCCAAGGACATGCTTAGAGAGGACTGGAGAGAAAGATAGATAGATGATAGACAGATAGATAGATAGATAGATAGATAGATAGATAGATAGATAGATAGAGCACGAGAGGAACATCAATGTTAGAGAGAAACATGGGTTGGTTGCCTTCCATATGCTTCCTGACCTGGAATTGAATTGGCAGCCTTTCCGTGCACTGGCTGACGCTCAACCAGCTGAGCCACTCGGGCCCGGCTGACTGCATTTNCGGAATTGAACTGGCAGCCTCTCCGTGCACTGGCTGACGCTCAACCAGCTGAGCCACTCGGGCCCGGCTGACTGCCTTTTTAAATCACATATGAGTGGCCACGTGTTTTCCTGCTTATAAGGTTGTCTGGACTACCAGCACTTTCCCAAAATGTTCCAAATCCACAATGAAAAATTCTGGTTGTATGCTTCCTATATTACTTTAGGTGAACATTCCTTATAAAAATAACTGGAAAGACTGATGTTGACTAGATGGGATCCAAGTTGTATTTCTGTAATTTTATGCTATAATAAAATCAAGCGAGTAATTTTTATATCTGTAAATTTTTTTTGTTTCCCATAGAAGTCTGGGGCACTTTCAAAATTAAAGAAAGATTTACAAAAGACCTTTTAAATTCATCTTCTGCCATATACTCCAAATATACCACTGCCATTGAAATTCAAGTAAGTACCTTCTACTTACGGCATAAGAAGCTGTTGGCTAAACATAAGCTCAGATGTTTTCAATTCAACATGTTTATCTAATACCTATTCTTAATTATTCACTTTCAACCGGTTATTACATAGTAGTTAACCACTCTGCCCACAGCTGACGTACTTTGAACATTTCCTTTCTAGGAGAGTTTAGCAGGTGAATCCTTTTCATTTCTTTTGTGTTCAGTTTTGTTCGTTTCCTTGGGTCATATTATGCCAAGGCTTCTTGATTATTGCATGATCTAGGCTCAATTGTCAGCATCTGGAATTTGTTCCAGGAAGAAGCCTCACTTGTTAGAGGCTAAAGAGAGTTACAGAGCAAAAATTCTGGACTTTATAATGAAGTCACATCCAACGAGATCAGTGTGCCTCCGCCTAGGGTGAGGCTCAGGGGTGGGTCTAACTGGAGACACGCACGAATCCTTGGCAGATAGGTTCAGTTCAAGTATCTATAAACATGGCTTATTTGAGGAAGGGTAAAATACATTTTGGGTGAATTTATTATAGTATGCGGCCCCTGGCTCATCCTCGAGTCTAAGCAGTTGATTCTTCATTCTTTTATTATTTTTTTAATCTTCACCTGAGGATATTTTTTCCACTGATTTTTAGAGGGAATGAAAGGGAGGGAAGGGAGTGGGAAAGAGAGAGAGAGAGAAATATAGATGTGAGAGGGACACATGGATTGGTTGTCTCCCTCATTCACCCAGACCTGCAACCCAGGCACGTGCTCTTGACTGGGAATTGAACCAGAGACCCTTTGGTGCGTGGGCTGATGCATTAACCACTGAGCAACGCCAGCCAGGGCTGACTCTTCATTCTTTACTAGCAACCTCGAAAATAAATTGTGTGTGTACATTCTCAATGGTCACTGTAACTGTATTTTTATAATGTGCACCTACCTCCTGCTGTATCTTTTTCCCTTGCTTGGTGTTTCTGTTGGTTGATTTAGTGTCTGCATCTATGTTTTTCTTGTGTGGGGATAAAAGTCAACCTACTGCCTTTTGTTTTTTTGTTTTTGTTTTTGTTTTCCTAAGCTTAAAGAAGCATACAAAAGAATTCAAGGTTTTGAGTCAGTTCGTGTCACTCAATTTCGGTAAGTAACACAATGCCCAAATCAAGGACATCCCCAGACTTGCGAATCAGTCCTGCAAAATGCTACTGCTGTTGCCAAGTGCCTTTGACAGGTAATAGGTCAAACCGGGTCTTTGGAGTAGGATTCTTACCAAAACTAGACAAAATCTGTGATGTTTTAAAAGTCTGAAGAGGAAAGCCTATGTTCTCATGTAAATGAGCTCAGAAACTAAAATATTAAATGGCATTCTCAAACCTATGGAGCAGAGAGTAGAATTGGAAACCCCCGGTAGTGGGGCAGAATTTGGAAGGAAGCAGGAGATAACTGGTATGTGTGTGTGGGAAGGAGTGAGAGGTGGGATAAGGGTTGTAGAGGGATGGATTTTCTTCTTCCATAACCATACCAGGGTATGATGTATCACTGGGAGCCAGGAGAGAGGCCTTGGGTGATATAGTATATTTTTGTGTAGATATCTTGTATACACCATAGTTCAAAACCCCGTAGTCATTGTCTACAGCAAATAAAGAGATATTTAGTAAATTGTCCTTTTGTTTATACTTTAATTCCAAAGTTATTTGGTTAGTTAGCCATGTGTGCATTGATTACCAACTATTTATAGTCTGCTTGGTAGAGGAAGTGGCTTAGAGGTCAGAGAACTTGACCTCTTATATGATTTTTACACAGTTAACTTGAACAACAGCTGTAGGGAATTTTCAACAGCATTTGCTATAAATATATTGCCCTGGACATTAACCCTTAGTTAATTATGACTTTATAATGTCTTTATAATCAAGGCTCACTGGTGTAATTTTCTTTAAAATCCAATGCTAGGAAAAACACCACTTCTTTTCTTAAATCAAGGTCTATATAATTAATCATTTCCCTGTTTGATTTTCTGTCATTTAATTCATAGACAAAATTGAAACTCAATCATAATTTTTACATTTAATATTCATATTTTCCTTTTCTGTGGTCCTGGTTTTCCATTATATTTTTAACATATATTCCATTCCATACATCTTATAAGCTATCTCCAATAATTGGTAGACAAAATCACAGTTAAGATAGGCATAAGTCTATAAAATACAACTATGCAGGTTTTTCTCTTGACTATATGATTGAAATTCTCACTTCCTCAGTTTGTTTATTTGTTGAACAAGACTGTTAACACTTGTGGAATCTGATTTAACCTCATTAACTCAAATGAAATAATGCAGGAAAATACTTTGTAAAGAATATAAAAGGGCCACATCAATACAAAGATACTATGACCATTACTACATAAAAAGGTATTTTGATTTATTTATATGCTGTGAGTGGTGATTCAATGTAGTGATTAAGAATTTGAGCGTTGATGTGTCAGAGATTCTAATTCACCAATTAGTGATTAAAAATTATCTGACTCAACTTCTCTTTGGGACTCAGCTCCCTTATCTATGAAATGGGGATAATACAGCGTTTACCTCATCAAGTTCCTGCAGAATTAGCTTAATTAATACATGTAATCTCACTTGCTTTCATGACTTCAAACACCGTCTGTAAGCTGATGGTTTCTAAGTGTATTGCTTGAGCTTGGCCTCTTTCCTAAACTTCAGACCCCAAAATCCACTTGCCTATTACCATCTACACTTGATTTTCTAGTAGGCGTGTCAAACATAATGTGTCAAAAATGGGGGCCCTCCAACTCTCCTCCTCAAAACCTTCAACCTACTTCTCCCATCTCGATTACAGCGATACCATTTTCTCTGTTGGACAGACCCAAACCCTGGAGTCACCCTTTAACTTTTTACTGCGGTATAATTTACATTTAGTGATATGCTCTAACTTTAAAATACAGATTAATAAACTCTCATAAATGGTGCAGGTGGGGGAAGTTATGGGGGGTAAATGGTGATGAAAACAATAAATTAAAAAATGATTTGTTACAGTAAAAAAAAAAAGAAATTAAATAAACTCTGACAAATGCTTGTACAAGTTACCTCCTATCAACACAAAACATTTTCATCATCTCCAAANAATGATTTGTTACAGTAAAAAAAAAAAAGAAATTAAATAAACTCTGACAAATGCTTGTACAAGTTACCTCCTATCAACACAAAACATTTTCATCATCTCCAAAGTTCCCTTGTGCCGCCTTCCAGCCAATCTCCATGTCCACTCTACCCCTACCAGAAATAACCACTGATCTTATCCCAATCAGCATAGGCTAATTTTGCTTATTCCAGAACTGCACATAAATGGAATCACCCAGTATACAGTATTTGTGTGTCTAGCTTCTTTCGCTCAGCTTAAATGTCTTTGAGGTTCATTCTTGTTTTTTCGAGTATCAGTGCTTCCTTCCTTTTCATTGCCCAGTAATACTCCATTGTATGAATATACTACAACTGGTCCATTCCTTGCAGTCATCCTTGACTGATTTCTTTCTCCGATGCCTGAAAGATGCTCCATTAGCAATTCCTATGACTCAGTCTTCAAATACAAGATGAATCTGACCACTTCTCCCAAAAGCACCTAAGTTCTTGTTATTGTCTCCTTTCCTAATTAGCCTTTCTGCTTCCCTGCTTGCCTCCCTTCCATCTATCTTCTATACAGCAGCCAGAGTGATGAATTTAAACAATAAATCTGATGATGTCCTCTGTGATCTGGTTCCTGGCTACTTCTCCAACATCATCTCCTACCCATTTCTCTCTCTCTTGCCCATTGAACATTAGTTACACTAGTCTTTTCTTTTTTCCCTTCTTTATTTTTCCTTCTAACTTAAATTGATTTTATTCAACTCTTCATTTACTCTCACCCAGGGTTCTTAAAATCCACATTGAAATATTTAGGCATCAAGAAGCAATCCCAATTCTTAACCTGACACCTAGTCTTTAAATTTGTCACACTCGCGGGCGTTTTCCTGCCTCAGGCCCTTTGCATGTGCTGGCACGCCACACCAATGGTCTTTGCATCACTGGCCTTTCCTTCTCATTATTCAGGCCTCAGCTGCAAAGACCCTCTGCACAGAGAAGCCTTTTCTGACCAGTCTCATTTAAAGTGGACTCATATCTCCCAGCTATTCTTATCACTGCTCCTGTCTCCCATAACACTTAACAAAAAACAATATATATTACATGATCATATAAATGCTTGTATAGAGAGGCTACTTGTTTCTTATTTATCTTGCCCCCTTCTCTAGAATAGAAGCTCCATGAGAGCAGGGGCCAAATCTGTCTGATTTATTCCTGTGGACCCCACGCTGAGTATACACAGAGTAGGCCCTGAGTGACTGGATACATGAATCTCACTTTTCTTTCCACATAATCATTCAAGAGGCAGAAGCATCGTTGCTGGATATGAAGTCGTTGGCTCCAGCAGCACATCTGAGCTGCTGTCAGCCGTTGAACAGGCGGCCGAGGAGGCTGAGGGAGGCCTTCAGAAGCTGTTTCCACTGGAAGGTGACTCTTTCAGAGTGTTCGGAAAAGGTAACACGAAATTCCCACCCTCTGCTCAGGTTAGGGGAGACCTTTAATTAGTCGTTCATTCGTGCCTGTAGGAGGCATATTGGAGAGGTTTCTGATACAGGATTATTCTAAGACTGACTTTCAGCAGAAACAGGCAGCTGTTTATGGTGAAGCTCAATCTCAGCCGACTAGTTCAGCTCCTTGCTGATCTGAGATCTGATCTCCACTGTAAATGTTGTGGAAGACTGATCTCCCTCAGGCTATGATGGAATGATTCAGCAATAGTTTACTGGTATACATGTCGAAATATCTCTGGGCAGATAATATTCCTGAGTATAATTCAAGGAACCAAGGAAAGAATGTGTATATTCAGGTCTTTCACACTCACACAAACACACAGAGACACTAACACACACACTACTTCTTTTCTTCAGGTATTTTTCTCCCATTTTACTTGTTTACATTCAGTCTTAAACCTCTCCTCTCAAAATCTGTGTCACTTTCAACAACACTTTTTCAACAAATATTTACTAAGTGTTTAAAGTGTCTAGGCACTNTCTCCCATTTTACTTGTTTACATTCAATCTTAAACCTCTCCTCTCAAAATCTGTGTCACTTTCAACACTTTTTCAACAAATATTTACTAAGTGTTTAAAGTGTCTAGGCACTTAGGACACAGCAATGGGGAAAACCAACCAAAAAACACAGCTCATTTAATGTCCCTTCCTCCGAGTCCCAGTCATGGGAAGACTATATTATTAAAAGGCAGCTGCAAGAGTAACTAGTGTCTGGTCACAATGTGAGTAGCCTTTAACTGGGTACAAAGTAGGACATATCACCCACTTTTTAACCATATTGTTATTGCTCTGCTCCATANAAATGGCAACTGCCCACTTTTTAACCATATTGTTATTGCTCTGCTCCATAGTGTTTTGAAGATTTTTCTGGTTTTCTAGCACTCCCTTAAAGGGTAAAAATATTTCACACCATGTCTTATTTTCACCTAATACATATTAGTTGATAGCCCACTAAAAGTAAGATTGTTGGCAAAGATCAGACCCCTGGAGGGAGAAGGGCCAGTCTCAGGGAGGGTAGGACATGAGAAAGGAGGGAAGGGTGCTGATAGGGATGAACGTGGGCATCAAAGACAACCTTCTCCTACTCCTGAATTTTGCTGAGCATTGTCTCTGGAAATATGATTTCTAAAGCACAGCTATATGATTTATAGAGAGTGCCAGGACACTCAGAGACATTTTCCCCTCTCTGTTTCCATTCTCTTCCAGTTCAGTGTAACAGTGTTGTCTTTGGATTTGGATTTAAGAATGATGAATATACTCTTCCCTGTAGCAGCGGCTATACCGGGAACATCACAGCCAAGTGCCAGCCCTCTGGGTGGCAAGTCATGAGGGAGACATGTGTGCTCTCTCAGCTGGAAGAACTGAAGAAGGTAAAGCATTTCCACCTTGCAGGCTTGCCCTGGTTTTGAGTTTCACAGTGGGCACTTCCCACTGAGCATGGCTAGGCGGAGGGTAAAACATACCCAATTGTCCCATTTGTAAATACACAGACCATGAGGGTGGCATCAGACCCTGGTAAACCCAAGGAGTGTGGGCATGAGTAGCAGCATCTAGGTGGCAGCTAAGAAGGTTAGAAAGTGTCAGAGTTGATGGTTTTGGTGGAGAGGGGTGCTGCAACTGAGTGAATCAATGCTGAATAAGTCTGCACTAGATGGTAGGACAACAACTAAGCTGGCCGCAGAAGCTCAGAAAGCCTGAGAATCAAGGATCCAAGTGCAGATGTGAGTCAAAAGTTATGGACTTAGTGCAAGCGAGAATGTACACATGTCAGAAACCAGGGCAGGCTTGGGGTCAGACAAAGGTGAGTCATATAGAACAGTAGAATTGCAATGGATCTTAAGAGTCGTCTGATTTATCAAACTCCTTTTATAGATTAGGAAGTGAAAGACTAAGGGGCTAACAGTTTGTCCCTCTGGTAGCAATAGTGCTGAACTAGAAACATGGCCCCTATGGCCCTGCCAGCCGTGGCTCAGCGGTTGAGCGTCGACCTGCGATCCAGGTGATCGGGGTTCCATTCCTGGTCAGGGCACATGCCCGGGTTGTGAGCTCGATCAATGACTCTCTCATCATTGATGTTTCTGTCTCTCTCTCTCCCTCTGCTTTCTTCTCTCTGAGATCAATAAAGATATATTTAAAAAAAGAAAAAAAGAAACATGGCCCTTTGATTCCCAGTCCAGGGCTATGACTTTCACACGATGCTCTCTTTGGAAGGTTCAAGTACTTAAGACAAGGCAGCTAGATTGAGTCAAATGGTGAGGAATTAGAACACAAGCCATAGGAAAAAGGGACTCCAAGACCAGTTCACAGGCACTGTTCTGCAAACAGTTCTCCATACTGAGCAGAACTTCTGTCCCAGCCAGAGACGCTGCTACTGCAGTAGGAACCTCAGAATGGTATTTGTTAAAGGACTGCGGAATGTTCACTTCTCCCTCTTGGGACCCCAGTTTCCTCATCTGTAAAGTGGGGAGGGAGAATGGACCAGATGGCACTATATTCCCTGTACTCTATCCTTGCTCTTGCCTTCTTTACCTCTGTTATGGAGATGGACCATGTCTATGTGAGGACGTGAGGGTGAAGGCAGGCAGATCCCAGGTGCCCTGAGTAGAGAACAGCGCTGTCCGCCAAGAAGAGCAAAAAGGAAAACATATAGGATCTGAGTTCCTTTGTTTTGACCGAAAAAGAATATCCCTTCTTGGCTGCCTTCCAAGCTAACCCAGAGTGGTGGCAACAGATGGGAGCTTCAAGGAAGAAGTAAAATTCCAAATGCAGTGACCAAGTGTAGTCAGATCTCCATGTACGTCCCTCTGTCTTCCCGTCTTACAAGGATTTCTCAGTATAGTATAGCGACTATAATAGGATTTAGTGTTGCTTCCTAGCTGGGTACTGTGTATACAGTCACTGAATCTCACTGAACATCAGTTTCTGTATAATTAGGATAATAATTTATACAAAAATGATTTTAATAAATCTCTTCAAGTTTCAATTTCGTTAATTATACCTCCCTCAAAAGGTAGTGTAAGGATTAAATCAATAAATCCCTAGTAAAGCATTTAGCCCAGAATAACAGCTCTGAAATATAGAAAGCACTGAGTCACAGCCATTGTTATCATTGTTATATAACATCCTACATTATAATGCACTATACACATGTTAGTGATGTAGCCGAGAATTCTGATTTAAATTGGATGAAAAACAAGCACATGTTTTTTTAGAACTTAACCCTTTTAATTTCTAGAATTTCAGTGTGATTGCAAAGAATGCCACTGAGGTAGCCGTGTCATCCTTGGTGCGAAATCTTTCAGTCATCATTCAGCAAAACCCATCAACCACAGCTGGGAATCTGGCTTCCGTGGTGTCTATTCTGGGCAGCGTCTCATCTCTGTCACTGGCTAGCCATTTCGGGGTCTCCAATTCAACAATGGAGGTATGGTCTTGCTTGTGCTTGAAGGGCCTTCTTTATTTATTATTATTATTTAAAAAATTGTTTTAATTATTCAATTTCAGTTGATATTCAATATTATATTAGTTTCAGGTGTATAGCATAGTGGTTAGACATTTATACAATTTAAAAAGTGATCTCCCCGATAAGCCTAGTGCCCATCTGACACCATACATAGTTATTACAATATTATTACTATATTCCCTGTGGTGTACTTTACATACCTGTGACTATTTTGTAACTGTCAATTTGTACTTCTTAATTCCTTCACCTTTTTTACCCAATCTCCTAAACCCCCTCCCATCTGACAGTCATCAGTTTGTTCTCTATGAGTTTGTTTCTGTTTTGTTTGTTCATTTATTTTGTTTTTTAGATTCCACAAATAAGTGAAATTATATGGTATTTGTCTTTCTCTGACTTATTTCACTTAGCATAACATTTTCTAGGTCCTTCCATGTTGTTGCAAATGTTAAGATTTCATTCTTTTTTATGACCAAAGTAATATTCCATTTTATATATGTACCACATCTTCTTTATCCTACCATCTTTTGATGGACACTTAGGTTGCTTCCATATCTTCACTATTGTAAATAATGTTGCAATGAACATAGGGATTCATATATCTTTCAAATTAGTGTTTTGGATTTCTTCAGATATATACTCAGAAGTGTGATTGCTGGGTCATATGACAGCTCTATTGTTAACTTTTTGAGGAACCTTCATACTGTTTTCCATAGTGGCTGCGCCAATTTGCAATCCCACCAACTGTGCATAAGGGTTTTGAAGGGCCCACTTTAATGCTCTACCTCATAGGAGGAATGACAAAAGACTGAGTTGAAGGGGAACTGTTGAAAAAGATTGAAGAGTCATGTAATATTCTTTGTGTGATTTTTACTGCTTCCTCTGCCGTGTACAAGGAACTCAAGGGATCAATTGTGTGAGTTCACAGTAACAGGGAGTGTCCTGTAGGCAGGCCAGCTGGGCAGCACCTGGCTTAGAGGAAGGGATGAGTCTCTGCAGCCAACGACACTGTGTGACACAGGTGCCAACTCTTTAATATCTGTTTGCAGTCTGCAGTTCTTTCCTGTGGCCAAAAACTCTGACTTTAGTTGTGTATACTTTAAGAACTTCCTTTTTTTTTTACTGGAAATTCATGCTTTGGTTGGGATTTTTAAAAATTAAATTAAAACTACAGAAATAAGACTTGATTACTAAAAGAAATGCAAATAAGCAAAAAGGAAAGAATAATCTGCTCTGCCAAGAATAGACACTGCTTACATTTTAGGTATCTCATCAATGCCTGGAAGAAGGACAAGTGAACATGTAGCAGGTACTCAATAAATAGTTATTAAGTAAATATCCTTCCAAACATTTTGGATCTATCCATTTTGTTAGAGTATATAATATTTTGCAGAATTGGATTATATAATGTATAATGTTACATAATCACACAATTATACTTAACTATATAAAGTGACCATTATGTCAGAAATGACACTAAATATGAATAAGTTAAACTCCCGAATCAAAGAAAAGGTGCTCAGATTTTTTTTTAAAGTTTGACCATGTGTTGTTTGCAAGAGACCAACTAAGACAAAATGACATAAAAAGTCTAAATATTAATTAAAGAGCAAAACAGAGCAGGCAAACACAAACCAAAAGAAGATAGAGATTCCTGGAGACAGCAGAAGAAGTGAGGTATGGGATTTTGGGCAGGAAACCATAGAGGGCTAGGTTAGGGTAATACTGGTACAGAGTGACAAACACTTGGGGCAGAATACCTGGGAACCAGAGCCCCAAGAAAGACAGAGGATCGGGAGGCACAAAGTGGCCATTTTCAAACACTGGTTTGGAAAAGAAATCTCTCAAACTAAGACTGACCCTTAACAGCGACAATTCAATACTTCCTTGCGTTTGCCTCCAGTTTTTAAGGATTTTTACTTTACATTCTGTCCTCTATTAAACAAAAATAATAAATACACATGAATTAAAACTTGAATGTCTGTGACATGGATTTATAACTTCTGATGTTAGCAGAACAAGCATAACATGGGAAAGCAGTTAACAGTCATGTCACACTCTCAGCTGAGGAGTAATGTGGTCACGTTTGCTATTTCTGGAGAAGGAAATGCACATTACTGCAGCCCAGCTGCAGGATTCTTTGTCATCCATGCTGAAACCTCTGTGTGCCCATGAATGCCCCAGGGTGATCACCCTGAAACTTACATGATCCCTTTGACCCAAGTTTCTTAACCCAAAGCTTCCACTGTGCAGAGCAACTGAGCTTAATTTCACTGTTGAGTTTTAATGTGGTCCTCAACTGAGCCGATTCTCAGGGCAATTTTTCTATACTTAGTACTAATGACTAGCCACTGTCAGTCCTCTTACCTGTTTCTTCAAAATACAAACTGACCTCTCACCTTTGCATTTCAGGATGTCATCAGTATAGCTGACCACATCCTTAATTCAACATCAGTGACCAACTGGACAGTATTAATGCAGGAAGAAAAGCACGCCGGCTCACAGTTACTAGAGACACTGGAAAACATCAGCGTTCTGGTACCTCCAACAGCTCTGCCTCTGAATTTTTCTCGGGAATTCATTAACTGGAAAGGGACTCCAGTGTCTGAAAGCCAACATAAGACAGGTTACAGCTATCAGACTGAAATGTTCCCCCAAAATACCTCCGTTCCCATCAGAGGTGATGTGTTAATTGGGTCGGACCAATTCCAGGGGTCCCTTCCAGAAACTATCATTAGCATGGCCTCGTTGACGTTGGGGAACATTCTACCCATGACCAAAATTGGAAATGCTCAGGTCAACGGGCCCGTGATATCCACAGTTATCCAAAACTATTCCATAAATGAAGTTTTCCTGATTTTTTCCAAGATAGAGTCAAACCTGAGCCAGCCTCATTGTGTGTTTTGGGATTTCAGTCATTTGCAGTGGAACGATGCGGGCTGCCACCTAGTGAATGAAACTCCAGACATAGTGATGTGCCGGTGTACTCACCTGACCTCGTTCTCCATGCTGATGTCACCCTTTGTCCCCCCTGCCATCATTCCGGTTGTGAAATGGATCACCTTTGTGGGGCTGGGCGTCTCCATTGGAAGTCTCACCCTATGCCTCATCATTGAGGCTCTGTTTTGGAAGCAGGTCAAGAAAAACCAAACCTCGCACACCCGTCATATTTGCATGGTCAACATATCCCTGTGCCTCCTGATTGCTGATGTGTGGTTCATTGTTGCTGCCACCGTGGACGCCACGGCGAGCCCTTCTGGGGTCTGCCTAGCTGCCGTGTTCTTGACACACTTTTTCTACCTCTCCTTGTTCTTTTGGATGCTCACGCTCAGCCTCCTGCTGGCTTACCGGGTCGTCCTCGTGTTCCATCACCTGGCCATGCCCTTGATGATGGCTGTTGGGTTCTGCCTGGGCTATGGGTGTCCTCTCATTATATCTGTCATCACCATTGCAGTCACACAACCTAGCGATAGCTACAGAAGGAAAGACGTGTGCTGGCTCAACTGGTCTGGTGGGAGCAAACCCCTCTTGGCCCTCGCGGTTCCCGCACTGACTATCGTGGCTGTGAATTTGGTGGTGGTGCTCTTAGTTCTCACGAAGCTCTGGAGGCCCGCAGTTGGAGAGAGACTGAGTCAGGACAACAAGGTCACCGTCATCCGCATGGGGAAGGGCCTGCTCATTCTGACCCCTCTGCTGGGCCTCACCTGGGGCTTTGGCATAGGAGTAATGGTGGACAGCCAGAATCTGGCTTGGCATGTCATTTTTGCATTGCTCAATGCATTCCAGGTAAGAGTCCAATAGGAATCACCTATCATGCCATCAGGTGACTGGGGTCATTATAGAGAACTGAGGTTGGTAAGACAACGCTAGAGGCTATCTTATCTCCCTGCCTCCAGCAGGACTGCAACCAAAATTGCCTGGCAACGGTGAATAGGAAAAAAAAAAAAAAAGATCCATTTTCCCCACAGTTGCTGTCATATTGAAGCAGAATATTAGACTTGTTCAGTAATCCACCACAGGGTTTGAATTCTGCTCGGCTTCACAGAGCTAACGTTGATCTCTCTTGCTGCCAACTCAGTTCTCCTCTGGCGCAGAGCTCTGTGAGAGCGCACAGGGAAAGGGGAATAAATCCAGAGTCCTTGTTGACTCTGAATGGTGCAAAAGTAGTCCCCAGAGTGCGACAGAGCAGAAGCTGGCACACCGCAGCCAGCGCTGTTCTTGCAAGAAATGTTTTATTGGAACAGAGCCACACCCGTGTGTTTGCAAAGGATCTGTGGCTGTTTTTCTTACACCAGTGGAGTTCAGCAGTTGTAACAGAGGCTGCGTGACGTTTAAAACCTAAATATTTACTATCTGGCTCTTTAGAGCACAAGTTTGCCCACCTGTGCTGCGAAGAATGGGTTTTACATGCCCCAGTAGGAGAGTTTGGAGAGCAGATGGACAGAGCAATCCTCAGGTTTTGATGAATCTGGAAGAGAGCCTTCCGTCCTGGTTCAGTGACGGTTTGCTGGGTCACCTCTGCACGGTGACTCAGGGACTTAGGATGGTGGGTAAACCTCAAGAGTTAAATAGGTCTGGGCTCAACTATGTCAAGTTATCAACAGTGTGGCCTGTAGCAAATTATTCATTCTCTCTGTCCCTCAGTGCTCCCATCTGTTAGACAGGGATAATGTTATTACTTATATCACAGAGTAAATACAAGGGTCAAATAAGATAGTTTAGCATTTACCACAGGGCCTGGCACATAGGAAATGCTCAGTAGGTGTCTCCTAAAAGCACCTGGCTCTTCACCCACATCAGCAGGGAACCTTTAGGTGGTGACACAGATGGCAACCATGGACAGCATGCACTTAATGGCGACAGGTTCAGGGAGCTTCTGTCGAGGGCAGGCCCGTGGTGATGTCTGAGGGTGCTCTGCCTGAGAGGAGGATTTCAAGGTCCAAGAAAGCCTCTGCCAAGGCTTCCCCAAGGGCCGGGCTTGGTGGAATGGGTGCTCACAGAGGTCAGCTCCCTCCACGTGGCCTTAGGGTGGGACCGCAATGCCTCTGCCTCACAGCTGCTTAGCAAATGCTCACTTAACGCCTGTCCTAAGGAAAGGCTAAGCGAGAGAAGCAAATGGAAGGTATTTGTATTGGGTTTAGGATGACACAAAGGGGAAAACGAAGCTCCGCATGCATCTAAAACGTTATTCACTCAATAATTTATTTATTTATACATTCGATTAAAAAATATTTTGAGCACTTTGTGCCATGTCAGGCATTGTGGCGGTCCCACAGTGTCCTTGCTTTCAAGGGGCCCACAGTCCAGCAGGGAGACAACTTCAGTGTTGGATATAGAATAGAACATTTCTCTTCTGGGAAAGATAAAACATGTTATTTCTTTTTTTTTTTTTTAAGGGTTTTTTCATCTTGTGTTTTGGAATGCTCTTGGATAGTAAGGTAGGTGTATTTATTTTTCTATTTATCTCTTATCCCAGGCATCTCACCTTCCCCTTCGGGTCTGAGGCCCTTATTCATATAGAAAAGGCTAGATTATGGGTACTTCTGTAATAGAATTCTGTAATTTTAAAAAAGGCAGGCTCAGTCAGGAGACAAAGGAACTAAATACTCCCTGCTGATCATAAGTTACATAGAACTAATCACAACCTATAATGTGACATTATAGAAAGAAAAGGAAAAGTGTTTTTACTTTTAATTTTTGTACTTTCAATTATAGTTTGGCAGTAATTAAAGAGCAAAAGTACTTTCTTTAAGGGTGAATTCCCTTTTGGTCCTTTCATTTATCCATTTACTTAGAATATACTGAAAGATATATCTACTTCTATATTTCTGGAGTTTTATATAGTACATAGCTTCTAAAATTAAATAACCTAAAAAGGATGACCAATGTAAGTAAAAGATAATAGAAAAAATTTAAATAAACTTCTTTTATTATTTTTTCCCCAACCATTAAGCAATTTTGTTGAGAGAGTTAAATAAGCTAATCGATGTCGGCTTTGCTTTAATAAGAATGTAAGACTATTTTATAATTAACACGATTGTTGCACATGCGCAAAACTGCTAATTACAAAGAAGCAATTTGCAGTTCTTGATTGGCCTAAATAATTCTCTCGTTTGTACAAATCACATGGTTAGGAAACACTTCCCTTCAAAGATAAACTTCAGTTTAGCAATTATTGCTAATTACTAATGTCTAGAATCTGAATTATCGTGGCTTTTGGTACTGTTGTTCTTTGTTTCATTCTAGATTTGTTTATAGGTGAAGAAAATAAATCAAAGAAGTAAAAGGAGATAAATTCTTTCATCAGATGCACACACTTATAGCTTGATTAGCTTCCAGGAAATACTACTATTAAATGACAGTTTCTGTCTGCAGTTTTGTTCTTGATTTGCCTATGTGTGATTGTATATGTGCATCTCAGCATTTCTCTGTTGCCCTTACAGCTGCGACAACTGCTGTTCAACAAGTTGTCTCCTTTAAGCTCTTTGAAGCAACCGTCAAAGGTAATTATCTCACACTGCAGTGCATCCAAGGCACGAACTTCCAGTTTTCCATTTCTTTCCCCCGCCCCACAGAAAGACCACTTTTGCATAAAACCCTAGAGTTTCTGTCACCATTATATTCTGGTTATCTGTCACAGTGTCCAGCACATGGTCATACTAACTAAGGAGCTGAGTGAGGAAGGAAATGAATGAATGAATGAATGGATGAATGAATGGGCATGGACAGCTTCAAGGACGCTCAGGCATCCAGGTCTGTGAGTGCTATTGTGAGCAAATACCTTTAAACAATATCATTTGCTTTCGTCTGACTTGTCTCCCAGCAGCTAGAGTCGGTAAGGACTTTTTCTCTACCTGACTTTTTGACTCTCCTATAGACTATTTTTCCTTCTCCAGAAAACTAAAAGGTGACGTCTTGACTAACTTTAATATATAAAATGCGGTCCCGAATCTTCTCTCTTAGGCTGGTATAACTGACTTTGTCCCATGCAGTTTTAGCTTTTAAGTCTACAAGCTGACATTTGCATGGAAACAGATGATCCCTGTTTCACTCTTTGCCACAAAAGTGAAATTCATATAAGAAGAACATACTTAGAAACAAAGTACTTGCATCCATATTTTGTACTTTTTAAAAAGTATGTTTTTATTGATTTTAAAGAGAGATGGAGAGAGAGAGAGAAACATCGATTGGCTGCCTCCTGCACACCCCCTACTGGGGATCGAGCCCACAGCCCGGGCATGGGCCCAGACCAGGAATTGAACTGGCAACCTCTCTATGTACGGGACGACACTCAACCAACTGAGCCACACTGGCCAGGGCCATATTTTGTACTTTTGAAGTTAATTTAGACTTTCATTTGTCAGCCAAATATTGAGGGTCTTTCAGAAAAGTTTCCAAAGTAGAGATTTCTGCGTTTGATAAAAATCTACTGACTTAAGTGCATGGAAACTTACATGGATGTTTAGAGATTTTTATAAGGGACAACATAACCTTCTGAAATAACAAACAGTGAGGAAATTAACCTAGGACCTTAAACATTTTTCCTGAGTTTGCATTTCATAGCAGATGGTAAAACACTGCTGTAAAATAGGGATCAGTGGCCCATGGGCAGGTAGAACTGCCTTGTATTTCTTTCTTTTTATTAGCATTATATTAATATACATTTATGAACTCTGAATTCTAGAAAATCAGTTCTTTGGGTTGAAACTTTCAGACACTTCTCATTCCTATGTCTATGATATTATTTTTTTCAGAGCTTGATGTGGGGTAATCACTTTTATATTTCGATGAAAGTCAGGAAACTATCACTGGGCTGTGTGCTGCATAAAAGAACCTATTTCTCCTATCCTGATTTAGCTTCCTCGTGACATGAACTGTAGCAAGAAATGGAGCTTATTCCTTTCGATATTTGTGGCGTCTCAAATAGTGTCTGGCAAACAAGAGCAGTCAATATGAGATGTTAAATGAATGAATGAATGAATGAGAAAAGAACAAAATGTATCTTAACACTTTTACCTTTCCCAGTAAGTGCATGCTGTTTATTTTAAATATTTTAGTTCAGTGTGATAATGTAATTAAAATTTTTAAAAATTCTGTGTAGTCTCTGCACCAGTGACGGAACATTATTCACAAAGACATTTAAATACTAAGTGAAAGGAGAGTAAAGCAAAGCTTTACTGGAGACCGTTTTTACTAGAAGTTTTGTTTTCCCCTCCGTAGGGTCTAGTGACAAACATTTGAACCAAGAAATGTAAGCATGGGCATGAAAAAGGACAGCGTCTCCTTTAGAATGTTTTTTTAGTCTGTTGTTAGAAGTCCTAAGCATATACAGGAACAAAACTCACTTAGAAATAAGTTCTTGGGCATTTTAAATTGATGAAAGCAGAATGAAGAAGTGAGTTCTCTAACTTCTTGAAAGGAGACCGATGCACTAGGTAGATGGAATAAAGGATTGTGAATAGCACCAAGGAGTCAGGAACTGTATACCATCGCCAAAGGACGCTATTAATGTCCAAATAATTTTTCTTTTGTGCAGCAAATCTCATCAGAATTATCTCCCAGACCCCAATTTGCCAAGTCTTTCAACCCGCTGCAGCATAGAGGTGAGTGGCAATAAAGCAAAGGACATAAAAGATAGGAAGAGAGAGACTATGAACACATCATATAAGGTAAACTCAATAGTGACTTTTAAAAAATTCATGTGGGAAGCATGAGAGTATCAGCCAGCTGTGTATCCGGAGTTCATCTGAATGGTGCTCAGGGATGTTGGGGATTCTACACTTGCGGAGATCAGCATTTTCTTAATTAGACAGTATATAAATCTGTGACATTGATCATTGAGGCCAAGGGTGAAGGAGTGTGGTTAGACTGACATCAGTCGTGTCCTTATTANAGAGATTGCATTTTCTTAATTAGACAGTATATAAATCTGTGACATTGATCATTGAGGCCAGGGGTGAAGGAGTGTGGTTNGGAGATCAGCATTTTCTTAATTAGACAGTATATAAATCTGTGACATTGATCATTGAGGCCAAGGGTGAAGGAGTGTGGTTAGACTGACATCAGTCGTGTCCTTATTAGAGATCACTCCTTTTGTGCCAGCTGCTGAGCAGTGGGCATGGGCCAGGTGCTGTGCCTTAGTGTTGGGCATATCCCCCTCCCTATAGGGTTCCTGGAAAAGGAAGAGCCACCATCTGCTATGGGGAAGAGGGCACTGTCCCCTCTGCCTATGACATGTCTTGTTCCTATGCTCATATATTGGCTGTTGAGAGTGTCAATGATATTCAGCTCCCAGAAGGCTGATATTTAAGCGCTGCAAATAGTTGCAGTATCCCTGGAGAAGAAGGGAGCCTGCAGCATCCAGGCCTAGGAGGAGACATTGCCAAGTTCAGTTGAAGTCATACTTAAGAGTCCCATTTCATGTTAAAATTATATTAGTACCTGACTAAGGTAGGGAAACGGGCAACTCATTTCAGAGTCCAATCAAAATTTTTTGAATTCGGTCTCCAGATGAAGTTCAAGAGCCTGAACTTGAGAAGACACTTCCCTTCCAAAATGTTTAATGTGCTCATCCAGAAGCCATGGGTCCCATCGCTGCCACCGACTAGCCTCAGTGCTTTTTACAAACCTCTTTACCTTTTAAAATTTTGTCCCTCATCAGTAAAATGTAAAGCACTAAGAGATCACTAAGGCTCCTTCCAGCAATAACATTCTGTGGTCTCAAATCTACTTTATCCCATTTCCCAGAAATATCTGAAAAACATGATGCTTCTCCTGTCAAATGAGAGATGTCTGACAAATGCCAGTTTCTGTGGCATTAATAAAATGCTGTTCCTGTTGACCGGCTACATTCTAGATTTTTCGCTACTGTGTTCCTAAAACTGTCCAGAGTTGTGAGGAATTGCACAGGCTTCTTTTCATTTTGGTCTTGTGCTTGATTCCAGCCTAGTAGCCAGAATTCTAACCCTCTTTTTCCTCTCTTAGGCACTTATGCGTTTTCTCATACTGGAGAGTCCTCAAATGACATCATGCTAACTCAGTTTTTATCGACTGAATAAGGCTGGGAACCATAAAATCACGAAAAAAAATTTTTGGAACAACTTGACATTTAGAGCTAAATGTCAGTGAAGAAATTAGCTCAATATTAGATGGAATTTTCTGATTTAAAAGTCTGGGGATAAAAGAAGGAGGTTTCATCAACTTCATCACTGTCCTCTTAACTTCTATGAAATGGAAAGATTGATTTTCATGTGGTTTGATTCAAAGGAATTGTTACATAAAGGTAGAAGAGTAGGTTGTGTTGGAAATTATGTCAGTTGTACTAGCCTCTTGCTGCCATAAGCTATGGTGTCCTCTTTTCATAAAATAGCATCATTCATATGGCATTTCCAACCTGAATAGCAGTAAGAAAATTTCATGAAATTGCCTTAGGTGAATTGATGGACTATGTTCACTTACCGAAAAGTTACTGGTATAAATTTCCTAAGAAAAGTCATTTCCCTTCCAAATCTTCCAGTTGGATCTTATGCTTATTTTTGCTTTTTAAGCTCAGTTATGTAACTTTGAAAGTTAATCAGAAATGAAGTGAAAACTTCCATTTCCTATCTAAAGCAGTATTTTTCAGTGTACAAGGCACTTTCATCCAGTCCCCAATTCAGTGAAGTGAGGTGTGCTGCAGGCCTGGCACAGAGTGAGGACATGGACGGGTGGTGAAGTGACTGGCCGAGATTGGAAAGCCAATACAATGTTATTGGGGACTTTTAGGACTTTTGGTTCCTACTCCATTTCTACAGCCCCATAATAGCTTTGAAAATTACCTGCGATCCTAAGAAAGCTTTATGAAGTTATACACATGCTTCATTACTCCCAGAATGCTGCTATGTAAGCGCAAAGTGAGGGAGAGCTTGGTTGTCAGCGTCCAGGGAGATCCCCTGAAACATCCTGGATTTCTTTCATGATGCATTGTAGGTACTTTCTGAGTCATTTACACATATAGCCAGTGTCACTTTGGGTGAGATGCAGAGAGCAGACGAATAGGCACTGTGTGAAGTGACATTTTGCTTCCATATTTCCATCTCTTCTGCCTTACCTGAGTCTCAGCCCCGACTACAGTGCCTGGAACAGCCAAAGCCTTTGATTCTTGCTTATTTCCTGAGTTCCCTAAATATTTGCACTGGTGGTTTTTAAGGCAAGAGTTGATTTTTCTCAACAATATTTGTGATGATGATGATGGTGGTGATGATGAAAATGGTAAGAAGTCAACATTTATAGAGTGTTCACTATGTTCTAGGCACTATTCTAAATGGTTTGTATATATTAACTTATTTAATCTTCACAATAGGCTTGTGTGGTGAGTAATGTTATTTTATAGCGGAAGAAACTAAACTCAGAGAGGTTAAATAATGTGAGGAGGGCAAGATGGATGGGAAGTGGCTGTGCTGGGGTAATAGTTATGGATGTGGAGTTACAATAAGAAGAGGGTAATATAGGTCAGGCTAGAAGGAAATGGCATTGTTCATTTGATTGTAATTAGAATCCCAGACTCTCCGGTCTGTAAGGGATCTCAGGCATCACCTAGTCACTATTTTTACATGTAGTCATGATGTCCTAAATCTCAGCAGCCTGTGATTACAAAATGAAGTCATGTCCACTTTTAAAGGTTCTCAATAGGAGGACATTAGTCATCTTGGACTGCCATAACAGAATACCACAGACTGAGCAGTTTAAACAGAAATTTATCTTACCACAGTTCTGGAGGCTAGAAGGCCAAGATCAAGGTGCTGTTAGGGTAGTTTCCTGTGAGACAATTCACCCAGTCTCATAGACAGCCACCTTTTCTCTATGTTCTTTTCTCTGTTCACATTCAAATAGACCTTTCTGGTGTTTCTTCCTCTTTTTATAAGGACACCAATTCTATAAGATTAGGGCCTCACCCTTATGACTTCATTTAGCCTTAAGTGCCTTCCTAATAGCATTATCTCCAAATACAGTCACATTGGAGGTTAGGGCTTCAACATAGGAATTTTGCAGGGACATAATTCAGCCCATAACAAGTAGCTAGAATGCATATGTGCCTGTTTAATTAAAATTAGGGTCTTTCAACATGTCCTCAGTTATTTCTTGACGTCTCCAAGGGAATGGAGAAGGGCAATTTCACAGGTACATTGGCCAGTTTTCTAAGACTACTGCATATGGCCACACAGGCCGTGCACTCAAGAGGGTGCCATTTTTACACTGCACTATAAATGGTGCCACCTAAGCCAGTCCAGGCCATAATCTGCACAGTCATTGTGGCAACCTTGACTGGGCCCACCCACCTTAGCCTCCCTCTCTTGTTCTGGCTCTCACACATCCACAGTTGCTGCTTACAGAATAACCTTGGTGAATTTTCACTCCCATGCCTACCTAGCATGGAAATGCCAATGCCCATGCCAAGAACTATGATCCCAGATGTTGCTAAAGCTTCCAGTTCTCGTGGCATCAGAGTGGTTCTGAGCAGCTCCCTTCCTGTCTCTTCATCTGGATGAACCCACAGTCAGCAGTTCTGTCTGTCGGGCTAGAGAAGGCATACGTGAGTGCCAGCGCTTAGTGAAGAGTAAGTCCATGGAGGTTGGACAGTCCCTGCTCCACATGCTTTCACCATTCTCCTCCTGACAAGAGAGAAGGGATGTAGATGCATTTACATGATGCCAATACAAGAGGAAAGGAGTGGAGCATGTGGATCTGTGCCAACCAGGCTACACTTTCAGCCACAACATGTCCTACTCAGGGCAGTGTCCTTAGGTTCAATTCCCTGGAAACATTGGACATTCAGCAGACATGTTCAAGTAGGACATAAAACACATTTCTGAATGAGCTGTTACAGAGTCTTAAGAGTGTCTGATAATCTCCTGACATTAACAGCCTTCATAATATGCAAATAAAGAGAGCAAGGGAGAAGTTTTAGGTAATGATGGTGGATTGAATGAACATGCAAACAGCATTGGAAAATATAAGGTTCATGAGGCACCAAGAAGCAGCACACAAGAAATGCCAAAGAGAAATGTTGGAAGGAAATGAGTAGGGACCAATTATTTCCAAACTCCACAAAGATATACAAGTCAAAAGGGAATTTTCTGAGAAGAATTTCCTTGTAGAAAGCTGATCTGTGAGCCTCCTTACTCCATCTACCCCAAAGGTGAGATAAGGAGGGATGCTTGTCCCCTAACCTCAAACTTAATAAGAGAAGACATCCCAGCCTTCTATTGAATCACAGCAGTTAGGGTATATGGCTGACTGGGTCTGATTTTTGCTTGGAACTGTGGCCACAGGTGTGGTAGTGGAGCCCTGAATGGGCTCTGTGTTGAGATCTGCCTACATGTTTAGAGTTTGTCAGGGCAAACGTGTGTATGTGTTTCCCATAGACCATGGTGAGACAAACAAGAGAGAGAGAGACAATATGGTGTTGTTTTGGGTACTGTTTAATAGGGCCATCCAAAGTAATGGAAAGATCTTAGCAGCAAGGAACTATAGGTGAAATGAGATTAGGAGATATGGGAGAGGTCACAGGTGACCACGTGGAATACAGGTGAATTTACATGGGCTAAAGGAATTGCAGGCGAGAGAGGACAGGGATATGGGAGTTTCTGAGGAGTTCTTGGATGCACCCTCCCTTGTTATCGAGAGAGTCCTGACACCATAAGATGATGACTACATCTCATAAGACAAACCTCCTTGGGGAAGGAGAGGTCAAAAACCTCAGTACCTGAGATGGGGAGGAAGGAGAGTGAAGAAAGCTAAACAAAAAAATGTCAACCAGCAAAAGAAGATGTGATATTGTGAGTGGCCAACCCAAAGCAGGACTCATTTGGGGGAGAGGAGAAATTTAATGCCGAATCATTTATAGTTTTTATTTTTACTCGAAACTGGGCATCCTAATTACCAAACTGAGAGCATGTTAGTATTTAAAGTGACCAAAATAATGCTGTTACCTGAGCAAGCTGGACCGATAGCTGGACTAGATCTGGCTCTTCACTTTGAATGTTATAAGAATGATGAAAGACAAAAAATAAAAGTGTGTTTGCCACACACAATATGCCATGTTTTCTAACCCACTGATTACACGCATGTTCACCGGTTTCCTCTCAAAGTGCTAATAAAAAACAAGAAAATAATTAAAAATAAAGAGATTTACTAGTTTCTACTGTGTTTTGAAATTACCACAAACTCAGTGACTTAAAACAACATACATTTATTATCTCCCAGTCTTTATGGGAGATAATAAGAAGTTTTTAAGAAGTCCAGACACAGCTAACTGGGTCCTTTGCTCAGGGTCTCATACAACTATAATTAATATGCTATCCAGGTTGCATTTTGATCTGGAAGCTCGACTGGGGAAGAATCCAATTCCAGCTCATTCAGGTTGTTGGCAGAATTCAGTTCCTTGCAGTCATGGGAATGAGAACCGTGGATTTTTGCTGACTATTTGCTAGAGGCTACCTGAGACCCTCAAAGCCACCTACACTTTCCTGTCACATTAATGGCATAATGATGGCCATTTATGTCATTAAGCCTGCAAGAGTCTCCTACTCCAGCACATTTTTAAGATAGAGTCTTGTATAATAGAAGGTGATCAGGGGAGTCAGATCCCATAACTTTTGCGATCTTCTATTATTAGAAGTAAGTTACAGGCCCTGGCTACAGTCAAGGGGATGACAGATGAAAATGGACCCTCAGTTATGGCCTTTTATCAGATAAGCTCTTCCAGAGCTGTAACTCTCTATTTTAAAAAGATTATTTTCAAGTTTTTCTCATGCTTCTAGAACAAATAAAGTGGCTGAAGAATCGCCATTTGGTAGCACCTAGAATGTTTTTGAGACTGATGCAGATTTCACTAAAAGCCCCAAATCTATTTCCTTCTGAAAGATCCTTAAATGGAAAGACAATTTGCCTTTGTTAAGGAGGCAGCAGGGCTGTGCTGTACTTACCTTTAGCAAACTTCAGGGGGCGGACTCCGACCAAGAAATAAACCCTGAACAATCGTTGGTCGCTAAACACACCTGAGATCCACTCTGGAATTTGAGGGTTTGAAACACATTTTAATCCAGCTTCTCTAATGAGGAACAATTTACAGTGTTCCTGCTGTGTTTTGTAGAGTAAAATAAATTAGGGAGTTTAGAGCATAATA